GACCCCGCAAATGTTTTAAAGATAACTATTTGAGGGCATGCCCCTGGAATGTCCGGTGTGTCACCCGATTTTGCTACATGAGCATTCATTCGAAAGGTGTGACGGAGGAGAAGAACGATGTGACCAAAGATGTCTTTTACGAGCGTCTCGAGCATACTTATCAGCGCTGGCCCGCCACCTTGTCATAGCTGTGCTTGGTGACTTCAACGCAATGATGGGCAAAGAAGGTATCTTCGGCTCAACTGTAGGAAAATTCAACATTCACGACGAAAAACCACAAAATGGGTTGAGGCTGATCGACTTCGCGGGAACTCGAAGTATGGTTATATGTAACAATACATTACAGCGCAAGAAAATTTACCAAGCGACTTGGCTGTATCCAGATCGAAAAACTCTCAACCAGATCGATCACGTTATAATAGTCTTAACATCGACTCGGATCAATACCTTCTGGCAGCCAAGATACGCACGCGGCTCTGTGTATCAAAGAATGCCCGCCAATAAACACAAAGAAGGTTCGACTTCTTCACAACAAACAGCCGAACTTGTTTCTACTCGGCTCCCTGCTCACTGAGAGCATTCAGCATCAACTCGGCATGAGGGAACTGTTACACGAAATTTCAAAGGAAAAATAAAGAAATATGTGACTATGAGCAGCATGATAGACAAGGGAAATCATTGTGACTCTACGAAAATATAAAACGATTTACGGAAGGTGTCGAAACCAGACCAAACTCTTGTACGATTCAGAGAGTAGGCTATTGACGGATGCCCAGAGTATACTGAATTTATGGAAGGAACACTTCTTTGCAAAATATAGTCTGATGAAGAACACACAATTACACAGCCTGCGCCAATTACCGTGGAATAAGCCTCCTTAATATTGCATATAATGTCCTATCAAGCCTATTGTGTGAAAGAGGATCGACACACACCATCTTTTTGTCGATTTTAAAGCAGCCCTCGGCAGTAAAAAAAGGAACTGTGTATATGTCGCTATGTCTGAATTTGGTATCCCCGCATACTATATCAATATCATCGTATAGCTCGTACAGCTCATCGTTCAATCGTCTGCGCTATTCTCCGTATTCAATGCGCAAAGGACCATAAATAGTCGGCAAAACTTTTCTCTCAAAGACTCCTGGAGTCGACTCATCAAATGTTCATATCGTCCACAATTATGCGTCATATAGAAGGACCGGTATGATGAGTGACTTGTATTGCTTAGTTTTCGTTTACCGAGAGAGGAATTTACTATTCCTAAATAGACGACATTATCTACGGCCTCGAAGTTATGGCTATCAAAAGTGCTAGCCGAGTCGCAGATGCGATGACAGTTTATTTGATGAAGGGAGATATTTCGTCTTGCCCTCTTTAACTACCGGACCCATTCGCTTCACTTCTTTATCACATTTGGAGAAAGCAGAACTCACGGCGCGGTTGTGGAGGCAAATAATTTCGATATCATCGGCGTACGCCAACAGCTGTATAATCTTATAGAATACTGTACCTTCTCTATTTAGCTCTGCAGATCGTATAATTTTCTCCAGCAATAACTTAAAAAGGTCACACGATTAAGAGTCGCCTTGTCTGGAACATCGATTGGTATCGAACGGCTCGGTGAGATCCTCCCCGGTCTTTAGGAAGCTTAAGGTTAACAGCCGTATAAATTTTGCGGGGATACCGAATTCGGACATAACGGCGTAGAGGGAGTTCCTATTCGTGCTGGCGGAGGCTCCTTTAAAATTGTGTGTGTCAATCCTCTTTTCATGGGTCAATTCCAATTTTTGGCTCATGGGGAATATCTAGTCAATGGTTGATTTACCAGGTCTGTAGCCACTCTTATAAGGTCCAACTATTTGTTTTGCAAAGAAGCTGTTATCCATTGGTCCCCGCTTCTTTGTTGTTTTTTAAGCGGGTGATTGCTGTTCGGAAGAATTTTTCCATCGTCATCAATGGGAGTTTCGGGTTCACCTTCCCCGGGTGTTTCGTTTTCACTGCCATTCCACAGACTGGAGAAGTATTACCTCCATAGATTCTATTTTGCTCACCCCTCTGAGTCCTCTAAGAGTTGGCTCCGGTCCTCAAATCTTCCGTAAGTCGCCGTATCTTCTCGTAGAGTTATCGAGTAAGCCAGCTTTTCAAGCTCTTCAGACTCACGCATTTCAAGCTCTTTCTTTCTTTTCTCTTTCGGTATCTATACCACCCTCAAGAGTGTTGTAGTCGTAGAAGCTGAATTTACCGACTGTTTCCCAAAAATACTTCTTTGCCCACCCTAGCGTTTAAGTCGCCAAGCACAATTTCGACGTCGTGGCGGGGCCAGTGCTCATTAGTGCGTTCGAGGGGCTCGTAAAAGGCATCTTGCCTTTTTTTTTCTTTTTTATTCGGATTTGTGGCGAGACGTTCATCCACCGAAGTGAATGCCAGTACTCGGCTACGGGGTCTCTTCCCCACCACGAATCCGACACCAAATTTGCGCTCCTCCTTATGGCCGCTACAGTAAATTTCACAAGGACCCACCTTCTTCTGTCCTTGCCCCCTCCATCGCAGTTTTTGTAGGGCGGTGATTTCAGCCTATAGTTTAGCGAGGTCATCAACCAGCTGGGCAGTGGCTACTTGCCAATTAAGTGACTGGACATTTCAGGTGCATACCCTCAAATCATAATCCTTAAAGCATTTGAGAGGGGTTGAACAAGAACAGAGTGAGGCAAACTTTCATTTACCATTGTATATATTTGGTTTTATGGGTGTGTAAGTATGTCAGCTAAAATATTTATATATATTGGAAGAAATACGGCACACTTAATCTGACCACACTACAATATCATGTTGAGCGTGATTATGTTGATCCATAATTAAAACAAATAACACTAGGTATCATCAATACATACAATTGTGCTTTAAGTATTACATTGCGAACGAAAGTTGATATTTCGCGAGTTTTGGATATTTTTCAGAACATTCACGGCTATTTATAGCTAAGAGTTGACCAGTTAACCGAATTATATATCTCTTCGTTGCTATTCAGGACATTTTAAATTAATTTTCATTTATAGAAATAACCACAATTCACAAAGTGCTATATCCGGAGAATATGGTGCTGGAAGTAGATTTGCATTTCTTCGATCCCAGAGATCGCAATAAATTCACTCGTTATTTCAGCAGAGTGGATGGTGCGTTGTCATAATATAATATAACACGTAGCGCCGCAAATTCTATTTCTTCCTGTTTTCCAACATTTTTTTTTAAACTTTTGGTAAGCGTTGTTCGGTGTACCACTACCGCCGTCCCTTCACCGTCTGACCCTTTTCCAGTAAAATAGCAGCTATGATTTTAGACCGGGTAAATTAAACTGACATCATTACTTATGCTGCTGATTTTTGTTGCTTAGATTTTACGGGTGGTTGGCTTCTGTTGGGCTCCATACCATAAACTGCTATTGATTTCTGGATGGTTCTTATTGAACTAAGATTCGTAACCAGTAACGACTTTACTAAAGTTGCTAGACTGACCATTTTCGAATTTGTTTGGAAAAAGTTGAATGCGGAATGCAATCGAGTCTCTATGACATTCAAGCAAAATTCATTAGCAATAACTTCGTGTGTCAATAATGCGTCCCCGTCAGTTTTGGATTTCACTAAAGCTTCAGTGACATCATTAGTGGAATATTTTGATCGATATTCTCGGGGCTCGTCCTCTATGGAAAAAATGTTCGGCTTGGAACCGCTTAGAAATGATCTTTAAAAACGGTGCATATGGAACGATTGTTTACGTAATTTGGCATTCACTGATATTTGTATTGAACGTAAATCACGCCGAAACCCGAAGAAAATCATAAAGCAAATTTCTGTTTGCGTTGGTGGTGGAATTTTTTCTGACCTAACCTCAGCTATCTTGCGTTTTCTCGTCTCCATTTAAGCCGATCGTTCGTTTGAAAGGAAGACTTATAAATTAATTACAAAGAATTTGGTATTTTTAGGTTTCAATAAAACAATTTAGAAGTAAACAACTGACCAAACTTTTGTTAATCCCTTCGTATATATTATATATACAGCCTTGGCCAAAAGTATTATGTACCCCACTAAAATCTCAAATGTGGCTATCAAAGTTACCACTTCTTTTTTGTAAATGTCTTACATGGGTGTTTAACTATTGATTAAACGAATAAGTTGTGTAAAAATTATAATTTTTAAGAAATTCGTAAAATATTTTCGCGTTTAAAATTTGAAAGTGAGAGTGTAAATAAAATTTAGTGAAAAGTTACCAATCTAATAAAAGCATTTGATATTTACCGAAATGCCTTGAAATTTGATTTCTGAATTCATCTCCAGAATCGACATATTTTACCCCATTGTACGCTGGTGGGGCATTTCTTATATACTATTTTAAAAACCGGTCTTACCTAACTTATTGCAAATGTGTATTTGTGTTAATATGAAAGTTATTAAGCTATGCAAACACAATTGTATTGTATCATAAAAATAGTATTGTATGTTTGTTTTGCGACAAAAGTTTGTAAATAGCTTTCTTCTACTCCTAAGTCCATAACGTCTTATGTTATATATATGTGAATAAACCAGACATGTTCAAACATATTAAGATACCCATTTTACATACCTTCTAGCCATACCATCCGACTGGAAGAGGGATATGCATACACGAGTTATCGGCGCTGCTTTCATTTTATTAAACAAAGTTATAATATACATTATCTATAAACAGTAAATTACGCATTCACTTTCCTTTCTTTCGAAAATGTGCGTATTTTCTTAGTTTATTTAATATGAGTAGTGCGTGCTGCTAGTGATTATAGCTAAACTCCGTATTGCTCAGTCGTAACAGACGTTAGGTAATTTGTAAATCTTTAAATCTGTTTAACTAAGAAATCCTTGAGGAAATATTCTATATATTATATATTATATCAATTTAAAAATTATATATTAAATAATAAGATTTTAAATAATTTAAATCATTCTATCTATTAAATCTTTGCAATGAAGAATGGCAGTGGATCTGGAGAAATCGGTTTACGAGGAAGTGGACATCCCGGAGATAACCCATTCTACAGTAATATTGACAGTATGCCGGATATACGACCACGACGGAAATCCATTCCACTTGTTTCTGAGCTTGTAAGTGTTAAGATTTTAAGCTTGTACCTACACTTATATGTATACACAATACTTAAAAATATTTCATTAATATTTTTTTAGCTATTTATCCTACATCCGTACGCGCTTTTTCTAAAAATGTCAGTTTCACCTGTTGCTTATTATTCATTTTTGGATATGGTTTTGCCAAAATACTCCATACAAGCTTATGTGCATATATCAATACAACCTAAGCTTTGCAGTTTTATGATAAGCATGCTTACGATGTTAGTCTTATCGTAGGTTGGCTCACAAATTTTGACTTCAAAAGCAGTTTCCTTTAGAATTTAAGATTTTTTGTTTATATCTACATGGCTCTATTAGAGTCTTAGGAATCCTCTTATATTCAAAGAAGTAAACGTAAGTGAAAGTTGGATAACCTCAAGCCATTTTTCTGTAAGATGTTTTTCAGAAGCGAGACATTTTTCCAACTAATTTGTAAGAGTCTGAACGAAACGACATAAATATAATATATTCCAGAACGAATAGAAGTGAGCAAATCTACTTCAAAAGCAGAGGTAGTCATTTAATGGGATCTCACAAGGAATTTTTATTCTCTTGTGAGAAAAACAATCAAATATGCTGATGACGCTTTCATTGCTTGTCTTTTTTATCCGACGAAAAAAGAAAATTCTCTATCCGAATTATTTGTATGTATTAGGTCTGAAAAATCTACTCATTTTTTAATGCATTTTGAATTTTTTTTGTTCTTTATGTGTGTTTCATTATTGGAATCAAGGTTATATATATTTTCGAGTATATCATCACTACGCTTCGAAAGCGTATATCAAATTTGTAACAAATTACGTGAATAGGTTGCTTTTATATATGCACATAAACTCATAATTTTCCTGTAAATATTTAAATATATATTAAGAAATATAATGCTAAGTACATCCTTTAGTACTTCCTTCTTAATTTCTATTTTTACGAATGTACTTTTACAATAAATATATATTGTTATGAAATGTTTTTATCACCAACAATTTCTTTCGGTCTTATAAAAATGGGAAGAAATAATTAAGAACCAATTAAATAATAATATATTATTGTATATTATGAACTATATATCTTTTAATTTTTGTTTTAATAATCCAAACATATTTTCTACTTCTAAAAACGATTTTTTTATAATGCCAATAATATTGAAAACTAAATCGAGTATTAATCAACTAAAATAAAACGAATATGCTATATTTTCAAATGTGGATCGAAAGGTGCTCAAGGTATATAAAGTAACTCAGTTAAAATAGTAGATCACAAAAAATTATTTCTTATGTACATTAATGACAATAGATTTGAATAATTTTTTTAAATTTCTCGCCAATGAGTTTTTTTAATTTATTATAACACATTTTAGATTTTAATGCTTTTCTATTTGCTAGTACAATTAATGAATGAATGATACATTGAAATAAATTTGTTTAATAACCGTAAAGGCGTAAAGTTTATATATTAATATAGTGCATTACTGGCACATATACTTTACACAACGCTTGTCACTTCTTATGCATAATAATGCTTATTTTACATATACGTCATTAGTATATACATACATTTCTATAAAATCATGCATAACGCACGATTACTTCTGCAAAATTTTTGAATTTATAGCTTTTTATATACATATTGTTACGATTTTTCTAAATCAACCTCGATTATTTTCTGAATCCTTCGGGTACGATCTCTGGATTGTTAAATAAAACTCGCCAACTTAATTTGCAGTTTCTTTCGTTATAAAGATTTTATCTAATGTCCTTTATTTACTCAGTAATTCACAATTCAATTACAAGTCACTTTACTAGCTACAATCACTTGCATAAACTTTCACCATTTACTCTACTTGAAATTAATCTCCAACGCGCTTACTTTACGACTCTATACTGATGCTCTCGCCAACGTGTTCACTTCGTAACTGACTTAACTTGGCAGCTGAATTTCGCCCTTATATAGCAGTCGGCTGCTCGTAGACGAAAGTGTAGAATAATCGAGTTGTTCGCTATCGAAGGTTCTTGTTTTATCGTTCTAGAATGTACTAGTTATCGGCTTCTCTCTTTCATCTGACATTCGCCTCGCATTTTTGGAGCACTGCCCTCCACCTCCCCTTCACCGTCCCGATCAGACACATTCGCTGTTCCAAACTCAGCAAGTCTCTCCAGGTGGACCACTTTCATCTTGTTTCTTGTANAGCTGTCCTTCTTTGTGACATCGTTTAATCTTCGATAGTCCACGCAGAACCGCAACTGGCCATCTTTCTTCTTCACGAGTACTACCGGAGAGCTCCAAGGACTTGCAGATGGCTCGATAACACCGCTCTCTCTCATTTCCTTACATATTTGGCCAACAGTGTCACGTTTGGCTAGTGGCATGGTTCCAGGAGCTTGAAGTATTGGTCTTGCGCCACCCGTATCGATGCAATGCTTCACTACGTTGGTCCTGCCTGGGCTGTTGCCATCCTTATCAAATATGTACTTGTCTTCCAACCCTTGCGTCCAAACATTTATTTCTTCCTTCAAGTCCTTCCTGCTAATGGAGTCGTTTTCCGATGAGTCATTGATGATGGCTTCCACTTCTTTACATTGCCCTAACATAGTCCCTCCAGGAATTTTTACTGGTGATCTGAACTCATTTAATACTCTCACTGGGATGCGTCCATTCCTTTCCGTCTTAGCCAGGGTTTTACCAATAAGTATGTCCGGTGTAGAACCTTGTGTTGCTTCGACAACCCACAATTTGCTTGTCTCACAATCTCCATTAATTTTTGCCCACACAACTGCTTCTGACTTTAGTAGAATCAGCTCGCTGCCTTCTAAGATCACTTGCTTGCTTGCCATGTTCTTATATTCCATAATGTTGTTATTCAAGTCGATCTTGATACCTTGATCCATCAAGAAGTCCACTCCTATGACTACCTCATCTAAAATCGGCGCGACGATAAAATTGTGTAGCACCGTCATATTACCTACTGTGACCTCAGATGTTACTTCGCCCACCACTTGGCTATCCTCACCAGTCGCCGTTTTCAATATTGCTCCAGGTAATGGTCTCACTTGTTTAGCGATCAGATCAGATCGAATAATGGAGTGTGATGCGCCCGTATCCACTGTTAATTTTCGCTCTCATCCATCGACGTATCCACCAATAGTAATGTTGCTCGGGTTTCTGCCAATTTGCGATACGGAGATTATGGAGCATTCAATTGCAGGAGCCAGATTACGCCCCTTTAGGCTAGCTCGTTTTAGTTTAACGATTGAGAAGTTGATGGTTCATCTTCCTCTGCCTTCCGTTTTCGCTGTACCTCCTGTCTGCTGGAACTTATTTTGCATTCGCGTGCGTAGTGCCCAGGCTTCCCACATTTAAAACATTTTCCCGCTTGAGTCTTNACCCAGAACGATTCATCCCTTCTAGCAGAGTTCTCAATATTTCTGTCATCGCATCTGGTGTTGCAACCTCTACTTTATTGAGTTTGTAAGATGGTCTGCTTATGAGTGCCGCCGTTTCACGTGTTTGTGCATACGCAACAGTTTCACTTTGTAACTAACTTGACTTGGCAGCTGAGTGTCCCTTTATATAGCAGTCGGCTGCTCGCAGACGAAAGCGTAGAAGCATCGAGTTGTTCGCTATCGAAGGTTCTTGTTTTATCGTTTCTAGAATGTACTAGTTATCGGCTTCTCTCTTTCATCTGACATTCGACTCGCATTTTCGCATCAATATACTGTTGAACGACTAAGCTGTTTTGGTTGTTATGTTTGCACTATCCAATGCATAATTTCTGCAATTTTAGATTTTAATCAACTTGATGTTTATTTTGTACAATTAACAGTTCACTGCGCCACCGCTCACTCACAACGCCAAAAACGGACTTAATGCAAAGCAAAACAATTGATGTTCATATGCCTATATGTACATATGTATAAAACTGCTTAACGCAATGAACTAAGCTCTAGTTTGGGATAAATCCTAACACTAAATCATAATGATTTCATATGCACTCCGCTATTTGATTGGTACATAACTATTTATATTTTGGGCTTAGCGTGTAGGAGATCTACAGATTGAACTGAAGTATTGTTAGGGTGATGCATTGAAGGGCGCACATCTTATTCACAGCTGTACATGTTATTCAACTAGATGTGCGCAAAATTTCTATTCTTGCAATCAGTCTCTTCACAGTCAGACTCTTCCTTCGTTGTTTCGGCAATTATGTCAATGACAATATCAATTTCCCAAAAACCACGTCCAAAATGATATAGCGGATTTTTCAAGTCAGTGTCGATGAACGACGATATCCATCCAAAACGGGCTTTTTACAGCAGTGGAAACCCAGGCGCCAACTGAATTTGGCCCACAAAAAGATGTTAAAAAAAAATTCCTGCTCCTATAAGCAGATCTATACACTGAGGAACATATATTGAAGTTGGGATCATATAGCTAAATACTGGATGAAAGTTTCCAATCAGCAGTGCTTACTGCAATATTAGGCTATTTACCAGTAATCGTTTGTGCACCAACAGTTGCAATCGATGTTAAGTATTATGAAATCAGTACGAGGACAGCCGAGTGTTCCTCCGTTAGGAAGTTGATATTGATTGATGAAATGCAGCTGCGAACCACAGCCCAGAAGTACGCGACAAGGTTAGAAAGTTCCGGCTCGATTTTTTACCAGAATTACTCCTATGGGTATATGAACAACAACTGAAGAGGCCTGAAACGAAGCCAGTAAGACTTTAGTCATTCAATAAGATAGGGCTGTAACTGGGGACAGTTAACATGGGGTGATAGAAATGCAAAAGAGTTTGGTGTCTTGCTTGACAGCTGCGAAAATACAATTAAATGTGAGCATTGACTTTTTCTGTTAGTTCCCAAGGCTTCCTTACATGTTGATCAGCTTTGTTCAGCCCGAAAATTTCAGTAATGTTCGCCTGGAATATAATACGGTTATTGTCAAAACGATTACGTTAAAGATCTGATGTGTTTTTATAGTGATGCTCCGTGACTTCAAGAAACGGTATTGTGTCCATCTACAAACCAGGAAAAGAACATGTAGTAACGGATGCGTTGTCCAAGCAGCACATAAATGCCCTAGACAATATTAGCATTGAAACAATTCACACCAAAGAGTCGTCAACCAATACAATCGAAAAATCTGATAAACCAGTAAATTGTTTTCGTAACCAGATCTTGATAGAGGACGGTGCGGAAGCTCAACGAAGAACTTTCATACTATTTGGAAAAAAGCGCAGACATTTAATCTCATACCGAGCTAAGGATGATCTATTGAAACTCCTGCAACAGGTCGTAAAATTTTACGTTGTAAATGCTATTCACTGCGATCTACACACACTCGCGCAATTTTAACGTACTCGTATGCTGGTCGACCTTATCTCAACGATAAAGTTTAGACATATAGACAAATTTGTTAATGATATTTCGGAGCCAAATGAGCAGCAGGAAATTATTGCTGCCGAACAGAACAGAGCGCATCGATTAGCCCAAAAAAATACGAAGCAAAATCTTCAGAGCTATTTTTCCTGGCAATGGAAAAGAAAGTCAAACAATTTGTGACAAACTGTCGCATCTACTCTCAGGCGAAGTATGATCGTCACTCGAAAAAGCAATCGATTGCTCACACACCTTATAACAACATATTGAAGAGAAATCTTCCACGTCGACAAATATTCAAAATTTGCGATATTACAGTCGCTGAAGTCAAAGGCAATAGTAGACGTTAGACCACAGCTCTTTCAGCTATATCACATATTTTTCGGTACGAAAACTGTTTATTGCTACAACGAAAAGTCGCTTAATTCGCACAGAATCAAAGCTACATTAAAAAATGACTTCGACATTGACATCGGGAATGCCCCACCCTAACATAGCACGTCAAATGGCCAGGTAGAGCATTTCCACAGTACATTGATGGAAATATCGCGATGCCTTAAACTGAACCAAAACCTTGACGATATCGAGGAAATAATCCTCCTGGTTACGATTATATAACAGGTCCATTCACATAGGAACTGGGATGAATCCCATTGCCGTCTTTCGTTCCGTGACAAACGACGGCCGAATTTCACGCCATTTAAAAAACGCACAAGTTAGAGAACTGATTACACATAATACGAATAGGCAGGATAGAGAATTTCATGTAGGTGAAAAAGTGCTGGTGAAAATTAAAAAGAGACTAGGTAATAAACTTACGAACTTTTTATACTGAAGAAGAGGC